TGTGAGTTCCTATGGTTTTTGTTATATTACACGTGTTCTTCTCATCCACGTCCATAATTCATGAAAAATGAGAACCCAAAAATTAAATACGCGCTTCCTGGTGAATGTATAGGAATTCCAATGTGAACACAACACAAAAAAAAAAAATCAAAATAATTAATAAATCCTAACAAATACATGTAACATAACAAAAACATTAAGAACTCACAAATTGCTAACAAGTACTCTACTTAACATTCATACACACAGTGCACGCAGGGACAAAAAGTATTCTTTTTTTTTTTCAATGAATTTGGGGTGAGGGATTTAAGAGGGTTTTAGAAGGGATTAAATAAATTATTAAGTTTTGGTGAAAAAGATGAAGTGGAGTGAGGTGGAAAATAAAATTTTAAAGATTTGGAATTGTTAGTGGTACATGAAAAAAGATGGGTATAATTTGTAAATGAATAAAAAGTTTAAATACTAAAATTGCAATTATTATCTTTTAATTTTGGCATTTTTACTGTTTTTAACTGCAAATTTGACAGTATAGAATTTTTCACACAAAAAGTTTCAAATAGGGGAATTTTCTACGATTTTCAATAGGTATGGGGATATATAGCAAATGTAAACGTTTGTAGAGGGATTTTCTTTTATTAATCCATTTTTAGCACTTAACTTTCATTTTGTTGCATAGCACGCAACTCTTTTCAATTTTGTCAACGCAAAAAAAAAAAAAAAATGTGAGGTGGACAAGGAATTATTACGCGACGGTAACTTAACTGTTAACCAGGATAAGTTAGTCACATCGAACAAATTGCTACATCAATATGAACTTGATTTACTAAACTAAATGGAATTAAATATTTAAATTGTCTCGCGTTGACATGTCCTGATTAATCATTGATTTATTGTCACATAATAGTTCGAGCAATCATTCATACAATGTATTAGTTTGTATGGGGCAAATTGAGAAAATAGACTAACGATATAAGAATATCCAAGAAACTCTTTATTTATAAAGAGTATCTTATGTATTTAAAGATCTATATTTAAATTTAGAGGGTCGGAAATTTTTATAACTCCAACAAACTCTCTATTTTGACTCCTCATTTTACTTTCATCAAGAAAAATTTATTGACTTTCGTTCATATTTTATTTATAGTGTGTTTGAGCCACATTATTTTGGAAAAATGTATTTTGGAATTGTAGATTGATGGAGAATGTGTTGTTAAAAAAGAAGGAAAAGTTATTGACGTGATGAAAAATATTATTTTATTGAAAAAAATATTATTGAAAATGAGTAGAAAAATGAAAATGAAAATGAAAATTTTAATGTTGATCAAACATGAGCTTAAAATAATTTTTATATGTCAATTGACTAGTCAATTTAAGCCTAAGTTTGGATTTCATTTTTTACAAAAAATACATTTTCAACCACATATTCTTTTATAAAATAGTTTACCCATAAGTCGAAAATATTTTCTTATTTTTTTAACTACGCATACTCCAAAAAATCACTATTCTAAAATATATTTTTAACCAAAGATTACGCTGTTTGAACAATTTAACAAATAGAGTATTGAAATATGCAATTTATTAAATGCAATTATTTTATATTAAGAACAGAGAATTAATTTGATTGCCTAAATTTGGAGTGTTAAAACACACTTTCTATTTTAAAAAGTTAAAATATGGAGTATTTTGGAGTTGATTTTTAAGTATTGATTCTTTAAAATAAAGAGTATTTTGTATTTAGAAAGTTTCTTGGAGATGTTTGATTTTGCTGAAAATACTTTTTAAAAAAAATTAATGAATTATGTGTTTGGAAAGTTGATAAAAATTTCTGAATTTTAATTAACATTAACTATTAATTATGACTTATTTTTGTTAACCATCTTTAGCCAATCTCCCTCGAAGAAGATGCCCAAACGGCCAAACCCAAATACCTCTCGTCATCCTCAATTCCATTCCAATCCCCATTTAACCCCTTAACTCTCTCCTTAATTTCCGTTCCATTTACCTCCCCAACAACAACAATTATATTCCTGTTCACCTAATTTTTAGTTTGTACAGCTGGAATCCCAATTCCCCCTCCAGAATTTCTCAAACCCATTTTTCTAGGGTTTGTTTCTTGGTTTCAAATCATCTGTTATCGAAAAACGTCCAGAATTCTGCTGTGATTGTATCGAGAATATTTTCGATTTTTGGGTTTGAGAAAATATTTAATTAGACATGAGTTTTCAAGATCTAGAATCTGGTCGGGGATTGGGGTCCCGCAGGGACTACATAAATGGGAAACAAGATCCGACCCAGGCCGTGGCTTCGGGAATTTTCCAGATCAACACTGCTGTATCCACCTTCCAGCGCCTCGTCAATACACTTGGTACCCCCAAGGATACACCTGAGCTCCGTGAAAAGCTGTGAGGAATACTTTCTTTTCTTTGACTTTTCGTTTTGTCGAAATGAGGCTGGTTTTGTGTTTTTTTTTAGTGAATTTTCATTATTTTTCTGTCCAATTGGCGGAAGTTAATTTAGTATAGAGGTTGTTACCGTGGGATTGGAACTAGGGTTTAAATTGGGAGGACTGTGACTTA